GAGGTCCTTTACCAAGCCAAACAAAACTAGACAGCAGACTAATGCAACAGCAGTTCTCCAATAATGATTCTCCAATAGTTAATAAGCTGGGGTTCTTTTATTCAATAAATATTTATTGTGTCAGACACTGGGAAAGCAACAGTGTGAAACAAAGTTTCTGCCCTCATGGTGCCTAAACCCTCATGAAATGACACAAAATCCACTAAAAACCTACAATATATAAAGTGATTTAAGCTCCTTCTCAGGCCAGCAAAGGCAAACACGGTGCTGTGGTCGTCAGTGACAAGGAGCACCAGTTCACAGCAGAACCCAAACCACCAGATGGCAGGACTTTCAGCACAGAACATGGAGGCAGCAGGGAGACCCTGGGCACAGACAGCCCAGACACGACTTTCTAGGTTCTCCAAAACCTTGGTTTTGGCTCGCTGGCCCCAAATAAAGGAGCAGAGTATATGTCAACTCTTAAAAGCAGAATGGAAAATTCAAGTTGGTGAGAATGAACACATTCATTTCAGAAACATTTCCAGAGCAGCAGCGTGTCAGACTATAAATACCAGGATTACAAGGGGCTCACACTTGTGTGAGAATTGCACAATCTGTTTTTCCTTTACACACTCTGTGCTTCCCACAAAACTGTACTCAAACAATCTAGACCCCAACAAAGTCACCAATGAAAACCTCTGTAGTATGGAGGTTACTAAAGCACGTCTTTTGACAAATAAAAAGCATCAATCACTGTACCATGCACTGTACGTTTTAACCTACCTAATTCTGAATTAATTTCTAACAATTTTGGTATATTCATTAAAATGTTTACCTACACTATATTGGGCAGACTGGAACTTCACGGTTTGAAAGTGTGGGAGTCAAACAGAAAATACAATTATCTAAACCTTCCCAGACACGGTCATTACACTAGCACACTACTTACTCCTGCTCCGAAACACTGCAGTATGGTTTCAAAGGCTGCTGCCTTCCAGCCAGGGAGGCCCCACACACGCTGCTGGGAGCCTGCACTGGACGGTCCCTCAGGTCTGGCCAACCAGGACCCGCCACCTGTGAGCTGCAGGCCCAGGGCGAGCTGCCCTGACTACACTTGCAGGGTTTCACCTATAAAACGAGGGTGTAAAGAGCACGACAACAAGAGTTCTGGTGAGGAGTGAAGGACCTGGAGCAGCACAGCACCAAGCTCAGGTGTTCAACAAACGCAACTTCCGGGACAGAGCCCCTCCCATGTGTAATTCACCAGTAAAAGGTAGTAACACCCACGACAACATGCGGTACCTACACAGGCACCCAGTAAAGTTCTTCCCCAGCACTGGATAATATTCAAATGTGTACTTTAGTCATTTTTCTTGATTTGAAAAAATGAGTTTATAGTAAATGGCAATGTACCTGAATATGATTTAGACAGCATTATTTTAACTAAATACAGTTTGTAAGGAAACACCTTCATGGTCTTAAAAATAGGTAAACTTTGTGGTGATGCTACTAGTATTTTTCTCTGAGGCTTCCAACTGCTAAAGAGTACGAACAGTGCCACTCGGGGAAAAACATCTATTTCCTATTTTTGTCTATAAACCATTTCATTAGTGTGTATGCAAATCAGACTATGATTAACAGTCTTTGCTAAAAATTCCATTTAAACTGGAAGTTTAACTATATGTGATTATATGAGTTTTATTTCTATCATAGAGCCTAGTAGAAAACAATAAATTGTTGTAGATAGAAACAGAGGGGGTTCCTCTGCTGCTTTATAATCAGAAACACATTTGTGTAGTTCTGAACAGTAAGAATTGGCACAATTCCTAGAAATTAATGCCAGGAACTGGTAGATATGAATTTCATTTGTCTTGTACTAGGCTGCCTTTTGGTAGCCATGAAATGAAGTAAAAAAAAAAAAAAACCTTGCCAAAATGTCAGTAGAGAGAAAAAGCAATAAAGGATCAAATAACTCACTACTAAAGAGTTTCACAGAGAAGAAGGAAAAAAACCTAATTTCTATATGTAGTGGGTGAGACAGAGAAACACAGGTGCACCCAAGGTGGGCTGGAACTGCTCTCCATCCTTTTCCATTCCAAGGACCCTTCTATGGATTGATAAGCAACTTAACACCTGAATGCTTATTTGCGTTCATAAACTTCTTGGAGTGCATTACTATTGACTCAGATAAGGTCATTTACTTTGCCCAATTTTTTTTAAATTAACATTGTAAGTAACTTATATAGACATATGTAAAAATTCTCAATGATTCCCATGGTAATTTTTTGCTAATTATTTAAGGGGTTTTAGTATGGAGAAATCAATGAAAATACGTTCTTAAACTGGAGCTTCCAGGCAAAATACAGTACTAAAGAAATGAAACTTTTCTGATTTACTAGCAAAAACAATTCATTTCACAAATATGATAAAAATAACAAAACTTTTTAACATCACTGAAATTTAAAACAAGAGTTACTCTACGTGAAAATTTGCCCAAATTGAAAATGTTTAATTTCAGAAGTTAAAGATTTACATATTGTATTAACAATTTGAATTGCATCTTTTGTTACCCTTAAGACAATTTTTAATTATTTTTCTCAAAATTAAGATACCTTAAAATACAGGAAGAAAGGTTTCCATAAAATCTTTAGAGATATGAACTAACAATCTACCTCCCTCACTTAAAATAACACCCAAAGAAAAACCAATAATTTTAAATATTATCTTTTATTACACATAATATTTTATTATATTGTAGACTATATATGCATACATAAAATATAACAGAATAAGTTCTTCTGAGGGAGCTAACCAGTATTTTTTTTAAGAGGTTAGCTTTAATAATACAATTTGTTATTTAGACAAGTTCTCCAACTTCCTAGGAAGAAAAATTTTCTAGCTGGAAAACTGTTTTGAGAACTGGGACACTAGGTTCTATACTTTCCATCAATGGGCACGGAGTGTTACAGAAGCGATTTTAGCTAAAATCTTTTTAATGACCCTTACTGCCTCTCCTAACTGCCACTTTCCTCAGACATTTCACTCCTGATCCCACAACGACTTCTCGCGTTCAGTGACTGCCAGCTTCCGAAGATCTCGGGTAGGAGTCCCCACGCTCTCGGCCCCCACACTTAAATAATAAGTTTTGGAGTCAATGTCTTTATTTATCCAAGGATTTGCTTCCGAATGCATCACCTTCGAGTGACGTCTAGGCCCTTCTATTCAGTCCTTTACTAAAGTCTTACCTGGGCTCCTTTAAAAGGGAACATGTGTTTTAAACAATATTTTCCAGTGCTTATTAAATTGGATTACTTGATAACGACCTGAAAGAAGTTCTTCAGAGGAGAATCCGTAGCATTTGATCTTGCTGTTTCTGCAGCACTTAGTACACAGAAGTGTTCAGAAGAGACCATAACGGTAACTCAACTGGCTTTTCCGCCATAAGGACACCGCAAATATGAAACAGTATACTCACCAAGATACTGAAACACAGTATGTTTATGAGTTGAACACTGAAACACAAACTTCCTTTAAAAGATTCATGTGTTTCAATATTAAAAATTGGGTTTTAAAAATTAACTCAACAGTACGTCTGGACCAAAATACTATCTACACTGTAGCTCAACAAAGTAAGCTGAATGCTAATTTATTAGGAACCTTTAGTCACTTCAGGCATAAAACTTCCCTCCCACTTTACAGAGGCTGTCAAAGATAGGACAACTAATGAGAGGGCCTGGCTGTGTCATTTCAAAAAGGAGACGATTTCATTACCCGTTTTACAAACAAAACATTAAGCGTGAGGCTCTGGTATTTCATTTCAAACTGTAACGGCCTATTTTTTTGATCATGAAAATGTTTACATTCTAAGTAAGAATCCCAAGGATGGTCGTCTTAAGTAGATCCCCAAACTCCTACATTGCCTTCAACTTGACTGTATTTCAACCAGTACTCGTCGAAATTACTACAATATTACTATTATCTAAGTCTCACTGCCAAAAACCCAGCTGCAGGCTAACTATGCAAGAATAAGACACTGTTGAAATGGCTAAGGGAAAAAAAACTTTACCCTTAGTGCACTAAGCTACAAAATCCTGCAATTTAAAAAAAACCGAGTAATATCAAATCAAAACAAGTAACGGCACGCGAACGCACACACACCCCCTCCCTGTGAGGAAGAATGGGGTGCTCGGAAAGGAACGCAGAGCCGGAGAGAAACGGCACGCAGCGCTTCCACCGAGCTGGCGGGCGCAGCAGAACCGGGGGCCGGGGCGAGAGGAGCAGGAAACTTGGGAAGCGCACTGAATCACACCAGGTCCTCAGGGCTACGGCCGAGAAGAGCACCGGGCTTCAGAAAACTTGCGCGCCGGCCGCCCGGCACGCGGTTCGAGGCCCAGCCTTCCCCGCCCGCGGGCCGGCGAGTCCTCTCTAGGCGTCCGGCCGACCCCCCGCGTCCTCGTCGGTCTCCCTCTCCCCACTCCTTCCTCTCTCTCTCCCCTTTTGTTTTGGAGGCACTCGGCCCGCTCCGGCAGAGGCCGGCCGTCCTCCCCGAGTCCCCCGGCCTCGAGCCCCTCGGATCCTCCGAGCCCCCGAATCCCTCGGCCTCCCCATCCTCCCCGAGCTCTCCGGCCTCCCAGCGCCCCCGCCCCCAGCCTCCCCGAGTCTCCCGCCTCCTGGCAGCCCCCAAATCCCCGCTTCCCCGAGTCCCCGGCCTCATCACATCCCCCGGCCTCGAGAC